GGCACCGGGGCCCCGTGAGCCCCAGGGTTCGGGCCCTGGTGGCGAGATAAAAAAGCCTTTCCCTGGGGCGTCCTTTTTTCCTCCTCTTGTCTTCTGTTTCTCCCCCTTATCTGCGTGCAGCAGCACAAGGTGACTCATCGTTGTGTGAGTGCAAGGGCTCTGTGTTTTGGCTTCTTGGCCTTAAAAATCTTCGTTTTAGTAAAAACAGAGGCCTTTGGGTCAGGAAAGCTGCCAAGGGAGCCTCAAAAAGCAATGTGAACAGGCACATACACTGCCTCTTTTTCTAAGGCAGTGATAGTGATTCTCATAGTCTTGTCTATCATGACCTCTACAAATCACATCTGCCTGTAATATGAATTTGCCACAGAGAGTCTTACTTGAGACAGTATTGCAGTTAATGTCTAGTCAATAATAAAGTGTTCATGATCTTTTAAAAGGATGCAAATGTCGGTGTGCAGTTTTCTTATGGCTACTAACAGGAACCAGGAAGCCTGGGCTCCCCTTAGTGAAGCACGTGATGAAGTCAGGCAATTTTCAGCTTGCTATTTGTGACCTTGGGCAATGTGTTCCCTACTCCTAGGAAGCCAGAATAAGAACTTGGCTTCTAGTATTCTGAAAGTACTTCGAAAAGCTTAATTCATGCTTTGTATTACTTCCTTACTGTAGAGGCAGATATTTTAGGAAAGTATAGCTTTTTTTAATTTAAGCATAAGTTACAGAATAGCATCTGTTCAGTTAACTTGGTATATTCATTCTCGTTGGTTAAGTATTTTTTAATTTGTACTTTGAACTTAAATTAATACTCATAAAACAAAGGTAAAATCATTATTGGGAGAGTAAATTGTTTCTTGTTTTAAGGTGTGTCATAGCATGAGAACAAGCAGTCATTTGCTAAACGTGTTGTATAATGTAAAACAAAGGCTGTGCTGGCACAGTGAATATGGGAAATTCACTATTCTACGAGGCTGTCTTCTCTGATCAGGTTCAGGGTATGTGGGGATTTTTCCCCTGTGAAGAACTAAACCTGTGGTAATCAAACATGCTTGTAGGTAATTTCTTTAGGAGGCAAACTAATGAATATGAGAATCACCTTGTAACCACTGTGATAGTGATCATGGTACATGTTATTAGTATTTGTTCTGCCCATCTCCTGTCCTAAACCTGTTTGGGAATTGGAGCTGCATAGGACACTTACCTCTAAGGGAATTAAATGGGAATTAGCCCAGTTTGGACTGACAGTCCAATTGAAAGTATAAGTCTTCTAATAGCCTCAAAGGATCAAGATCTTTTCCATGCCTATCTGAGAGATGCTTTTAGTAGCATCCCATTCTCAAGCCACGTTGGCTGAGGATTGAGAGAGCCCTACTGTGAAACTAAACGGAAGGATCAGGGGTTTGTTGAAGGCCTTGTAGGTAAGTACTGAAATTATATATGGGAAGCTTTGCGTCTGCTGGCAAGGGCGGTGTTGACTAGAGCTAAACTGATCTTTAGAACCATAATTTTGGTTGCTCTTTGGAGGTTAGTCTAGAAGATTAGACTGGTTTGATTATACCACACTGCTTTTTTTAGCCTGAATCATGGTGAGTGTTGGAAACTTGCCCAGTGTTCTTAGATCAGGGAGGATGAGGAAAGGTGGTATTTTGGGTTTCAGCTAGGATTTCTAGGACTCATTTCCCAAATAGGAGTATGTATAGCACAGTTGCTACTCTCTTGAACATGAGCTTTTGATTACTGGACTCGTCTACCATGTCTGCTGCCAAAATATAAGTTAGGTTCTCAATTCAGACTCTCTTTGCATCTGGACCATTCAGGGCAGTGAGCTAGATGCATGATAGCTAGCTTTTCAAGATGAGCTTTTAATCTATAAAGATAAGTGTTGGCTTCCTTACAGAGGTTTCAAAAACAATGACCCATTTAATAGGCATGCTTTTTTGTGTCTTTAAGGAAGATTTTGCTTGCCAAAATAGCAATGGACTTAGAAGCCCTGTAATAATCACTGCCATTTCTCTTACTGAAATCTAAATAAGGATGGTCAGGTGCTGGGATAATAATTTCAGTGCCAGATGATGAGATCACTTGGTAGCTTTTTGCTGGGTGGTCAGTCTGGAAATTAACAATTCCTGCATAAAAGGGAAAATGTATGGATTGCTGGCATTCTACTTCCCTTGGCTGTTGATCTCAAGGCACTTCTTGTTGCTCAGTAAAAAAACACCATATGAGCCCCCCAAATCACCTACTATTTCAGGGAAGAGGGAGAGGGAATGAAGCTGGAAACTGTTTGGCTTGTAGCTTTTCCTTAATATTTTAGTTCTGCTACCCCATTTCTGAGGATGCAGTGGAAAAAGGAGAGGTATGGGGAACAGACAGGTGTGATGAGTGATATATTGTAGATTGTTTATGAAGAGAGATCAGACTTTTGAACCAGACAGTCTTTGCAGTTGCACATTGTTGGTGAAGGATCCTTTGGCTTGCTGGCTCCAACATGAGAACAGCCATATTGAATCAAAATAATTCCCAGGAGAGATGTGGGATGAGATTTAGATCCCAGTAAAGTGAAGATAACACTTCTTTTTAGTAGGTGTTTTAAAAAGTCTTACCTAGACTGAAATTATTCTATAGTCTTCTGAAACTGATTGGCCGAGGCGATTATTCTTCCCCAGTCTTAATGACTATCGCAGAAACAGACCTTCAGTGTTCCAGATGTCTCTTGCTGATCTCTGTTCCTGGACAGGATCTTTCACCTCCAACATGCTCCCCTCCCACTTATGGTAGCCTGAAGTTAGGGCCAAGCAGATCAACTGCTTTGTATTGCTACTGCTGTGATTACCTTTTGAATATTTATATAGTATCTGAATAAATACTGCATTTCACCAAGCCATTTCGTGAAATAAAAAGATAAATAGGTATACTCAAACTGAAAAAGATTTTATCTAATTTTTTTTTTTTTTCCTAAAAAATTTCTTTTACCTCTTTGGAGAGCCCCGATTCAGATTTTTACCATAATCAGTCCATAGGCAGGACTAGAATGCCATGAAGCCTCTGGTATTACTTTAATTTGCAAGTCTGTGCTGAATTGCGGTGAAATTTAACTTCCAGTTTACTGAGCGACAAGGTGGAACTCCTTTAATAATTTGTGTTACAGGGTTATTTGTGGGGAGATGAAGAAGGAATTACTGCATTAAACTAAAATACATTTCCTGGTCCAGTGAAGAGAATTATTTTTTTCATGAACATTGATTAAATCCCTCAGTGTTGTTTCCAGTACTCCAGCAGTTGGAGACTTTCACCAGATAATGGGTATCTTGTGAGTTAAAGATATTTTCACATTTGTGCTAAGCAAATGCTTAAGTTAAAAAAAAAATTAAAAAAAAAAAGAGAGACAGAACAAGATAAACAGAATTTATGTGGCTACTAGGTAAAAGGCAGCTTACGTAGGTTAAACAATGACTGTTACGTGGCTACTGGGTAAAGAGCAGCTTATGAACGTTAAACAAGCCGGGTGGTGTTTGGTGTGGGTGGGGTTTTTTTTTTGCTAGTGGAAGAAGGAGAAGTCTCAACTTTGACACCTGTGTTACCTTCTGGAAGTTCTAAGCTAAAAGTTCAGCACAGTGAAATTTGATGACCGGGTTTCATTTGCATTCCTGGAGGGGCAGAGCCCTCTCTTACACTGCCACGTTTACTTACTTCGGACATATTTTAACTGAAGTGGTGTGCAGCTGCTCTATTGCTCTTACCAAAAGCTGTCCAGCTAATAGCTTAGGATTGTGTAGTAAAAAAGCAAACTATCCCCTTTTTGCTAGTGTGCTGTCTATTTATGGTCTCACCCAGATTTCTTGAACTTTTTATTGCGTAAGATACTAACAGATGTCAAAAGGACAATGAAACAAAAAATTGGAATAAAAATTGGTAGTTTCATTGATCATGATAATTTCCAGCAAAGTTTTCAATGCTGGTAACAAGAAAACTAGAAAAAAAATATTTGTAAGGAAAAATTAAAAATGCTTTGACAGATCTAAAGAGTTGACAGCACAAAACTGTGGTAGGTTCTGTGACTGTGTTCCGCACAAGGAATATTTGCTGATTTATAATCATAGATACGAAAGGGATATTTAGTACAGTTCTGTTTGTTAACCTGTACTTGTCAAAACCTTGTGTCACTGAAGTAGAAGATGAATGTAATAAATAGGATTAAGATTTAAATGTAGTACTGGAGGAGGAAGAACTCTGAACTCCTGTCTTCAGACTGTTTTCAGAGTTCCAGTGCTTGTGACTGAGACATTCAAAGGATGTAAGAAATGTATGTACTAAACCTTGGAAATTCCTATGGAGACTTCTCTGACACAGTTTCCAAAGCCTTTTAACCTGTCTCTTTCAGGTGAGGTGCTAAAAGGTGCCTTGCCATAGCCTGCCTTTTTCCCATGTTCCAGAGAACTGTTCCACAGTGGAGGCTGCCAAGCAAAGTTTGGGGTTTTTTCCATGGCAGTTTCAGCTCGCAGTATCGTTTATCTGTCTTGCTGTTAACTCACCTACTGTAGGGCACATGCAAGGCTGTTCTTAGGGGAAAGGTGAGGATGCCTTTGTGAGACTGAAGAAGAATAGCACGTGGATCTGCGCAGCCAGGTTGGTGAAGCTGTTGTGGTTGTTCCACATGTTGCCTCTCTCCTGCTTGGCGTTACATTGTAGACCAGGCCTGTCGATTGTAGTCACTCTAGCTAGCATGGACACACAGCTGCCCTGAGGTGGAAATACGGTAAGCTTTGTAACACTGTGCAAGGACCCTGCATAGGGAACTTAGTGTCTGATGGTGTAGCAGGCAAGTTTCTGCTCAGTCCCATACCGTGTCACCTGCCAGTCCTTCAATGTAAATTCAATAGCAGTCAGAAAGTACAAACCTCGGGTGCTTTTGCTTTGGAAACTGTAAAGGTTCTCCTCTACCATGGCTGTAATATGTCAACAGTCCAGCAAACTGCTCTTAGCTTAAGAATTATTTAAGCATGGCCTGAAATCGGGTTTCCCACTGAAAGCATAAGGCATCTGGTGCTAGAAATAAATGTAAAATAATTTGGTAAATGCTGCCTGTTCTGGGTAACCTGGTGTCTCACTGTTTAACATAATATGCAGTATGGAATGATCAAATGTTCATTTGGTGCCTTTAAAATACTTTGCAAGTTTTTCTATTCCTCAGCCTGTAAAATCCCAGGAATAACAACTGGGAAACAATGGGTTTATTGATATATTACAGGAATTGACTCTGCAAGGTTCCAATGCTAATACTTTCCTTTTTCCAGCATGCCTTGAATAGTGGGATACGACGCTACCATGTTGCTCCCGTCCTGTGCCAGCGGGCCAAGGTGGCTATGAGCCACTTTGAGCCTAATGAATACATAAATTATGAAAAGCTGGAGAAGAACATCAACATTGTCCGTAAGAGGTAAGAGTGGAAGGGCCAGTGGGCGGAATTCAGCTCTGCAGTGATGGGATAGGAGGAAAAAAGTGTCATGGGGCCCTAGCATAGGAAATATTTGCTAGGGAGAGCAGCTTTGAGTGGCAGCAGTCACAAATGTAGTGAAACATGAGTTGTAGTGTCCCCAGGAAGTGTTGGGGCACTGTGGGGTGGGTTGAAGGTTATAATGAAGCACTGCAATATGCAGAGAACTGGGCCAGTGCAGACAAGTTGCTAGAAAGGTCTCTGACCTCATTGTTTTGTGTCCTCTATGTGGAGCCTTCATATTGGCCCTTTCTCATTTCTGGGAAGCAATGTATGGGCAGTGGTCATTACAGGCTAATGCTCCTTTGCCCTGTGTTTCGACAGTGAATGTTCTCCTGTGTTCCACTGTAGGTGTTAGGCACAGAGAGGAGGGCTGGGAATTCATAGCATATGTAAACATGTTGACCTTAATCTGCTGATAGAGGCTTGTGTGCCTGCTAAGTTGTTCCTGCTCCACTTACCTCGGCAGTGGTTTCTATGACATGTCCTTCAGTCTTTGTGTCCTTTGTTAAATGCGGTAGCTCTCATTCAGAGTCATTGTATCTACTCAGCTACTTCTCAGAAGATCTCACCACTGATATAAATAGGTTCCTCAACTGATACAGCTGCAGGACGAAACATCTGAGGTCATGAAACTCTGCTTAGTTGCACTTGCTTGCTGTGGGATCTGGTATTTGTGAATTGAGTCTGACCTCTGTCTCACCTCCACATTTGCTGTCCTGAGGTATGACTCAAAATATTAATAGAGTCAATGTTTCTGTTACTATATAGGAAGATTATAAAATAAAGCATAAAGTGACATCAATCCATATACTTTTGAACTTTCTTGACTGAGCCCTGTTTTACCTGCCTGCCAGTTGATATTTTAGTGCTGTAAGAAGAGTGTGCAGGTTTCTGTGCATCAATAGGTTTTAACAGCCTGAGTGACATAGGAAATTGTTCTTTTACATGCTTAAAAGGGGCAAATGTTGAAGTACACAAAGTGCAGATCCTAAAATTCTACTCCCCAGACTTGACCGTCCCCTGACCTTGTCTGAGAAGATTGTGTATGGACACCTGGATGACCCAGCAAAACAGGAGATCGAGCGAGGCAAGACCTACCTGCGCCTACGGCCAGACCGCGTGGCCATGCAGGATGCCACTGCTCAGATGGCAATGCTACAGTTCATCAGCAGCGGGCTGCCAAAAGTGGCTGTGCCTTCCACCATCCATTGTGATCACCTCATCGAAGCTCAGTCAGGTGGTGAAAAGGATCTTCGAAGAGCCAAGGTCACTGTTGCAGAGATGTACATTGTCTGTCTGAAAGCTTCTTCCCAGTTGAAGGGAAGAGATTGTATTTCATTTTATTTTTTTCCCCAGAAAGACAGCCATGATTCAGATACAATAACTGATGGCTTGTGGTGGTCAGCTTTGTAGTTAGGTCAGGTGCAGCAAAGAAACAAAGTAAACAGATCTTTGGGAGATTTTCAGCTGGGATTCATCCATTACATGTTTCGAAGGACCATGGATGCAGGAAAAACTAGTCTTAATCTGTTAATAATGGAATCCCAGGTCATATGTGTGTTCTGGAGAGCAAGAAGGTATTTCAGCTAAGGGAAGAGGAAAAATGTATTTAAAAGGGGAAAAAAGGAAGACAGATTACTCTAGAGAGCTACAGTCTTTATGGCACAGTATGGCAGTGTGAGAAACTTCCTGAACATGTGTCTGCGTTGCACTCGTGTATCCTATGAGGGGGAAGCAAGTAACTGCTTCTGTTTCCCAGTCCGTTTGCTAGTGATTAGCTGAAGGGCACTGGCTGAAGCATGTGCAGCTTCCAGGACTAGCGAGGGTCCACAGAAGTACGTAGAGACCACGGAGGATGTTTTTTATTTGGGAATTTTGATGTGTTGTTTGTCCAACTGCAGATTCACCGCCTTTTTATAATTTCCCGCTCACTATTCTACTGCTTGTTCTTCTGTAGGGGTTTCTGTTAAATACAGACACATTCACCTCTGTCCTACATACTTCAATGCACCTGCCAAGGAGGGACATGCTCTTAGCCTAGCAGGGAGATGGGGGAAGAATTGTTGTTACTCCAAGTGAACCTAGCCTAAGTCCACTGACAGAACCAGGAGGAATTGTGCCTTGGACATTAATATAAAAAAATCCAAACTACAGTTAACAGTAGTTCCCCTTCCCCCTGTTCCTGCATTTGTTCTCTGTCATGTAATTATATTTGCTCCAGCCCTGAGCTGAGTCCCTCCTTTGCCATCCCCTCTGAGC